ATCCCTGGTTCTGGGGGAAAAAAAAAAAATCATGTCCATACTAAAGAAAAATCATGGCTCTTAAAAACAGCCCACCCTATACTGTGGAGTGTTTTTTCCCCCTTTCATTTTATTTGGCCAAATTTGCTCTGCAGAGCCTATTTTTCCTTTACCCTTCTGTTTTTCTTTTTCCTACCTTTAATAAATGTGAAATTTCCTTTTTAAAAAAAAAAAAAATCTGAGGGGGCCGGGAGATAGCTCAGTAGAATAAGCACTTCCCTGGCAAGCTCAAGGGCCTGAGTTCAATCCTTGGTTCCGCAAAAAAAAAAAAAAAAATCTGAAATTGAACTCAGGACCTTGAGCTTGCCAAAGAAGGTGCTGTGCTGCTGAGCTTTATCTCTGGTTCCAACTTTTCCATTGTTAAGACAGTACTCAACCACTAAGAATATATGCAGTGTATTATTTGTTTTTTTTTAAAAAACATTTATTTATTATTTGTGTGTGTGTGTGTGTGTGGCCAGCTCAGCCCACCAGGGGGCAGGGCCGGCTGGCATGTGGTGCTGGGGGATCGAACCGCAGTCTCTGTGCTTTGCCAAGCTTATTCCAAGTAGGTGCTTTAGACCACTGAGCCATCTCACCAGCCCAAAATGGAATAATGCTTTTTTTTTTTTTGCAGTGTATTATTTTTTGAAAAAAAAAATATATATATATATATATAATAGCTGCAGTATTTAAACATATAAAAGCTAAGGACATTTTGTCTTTTGAAGCACTCCAAACTACAGATTCACAAATAATAAATAAAGCAGTAAAGTATTTGCATATATGAAAAAAAAAAAAGACAGTACTCAAGAGGTGAGACAGGAGGATTTCTTTTTTTTTTAATTTTATTTATTTGTGTGTGTGTGTGTGTGTGTGTGTGTGTGGCCAGCTCAGTCCACCAGGGGGCGGGGCTGGCTGGCATGTGGTGCTGGGGGATTGAACCGCGATCCCTGTGCTCTGCTGAGCTTGTTCTAAGTAGGTGCTGTAGACCACTGAGCCATCTCACCAGCCCCATGTGCAGTTGCCTTGTTCGTTTTTGGTCTTTTTTTATTTTACCGTATTTTTTTGGTTGAACTGTTTTTTAGGGGAGGTTTATGTTTTGTTTTTGGTGCCAAGGACCGAACCCAGGGCTTCCAGCTTGCTAGGCAAGCATTCTACCACTGAGCCAAATCCCCAGCCCCTAGACAGGAGGATTTCTAAGGAGTTCCAGACCAGCGTGGGCTACATAGGGAGACTGTATCAACAAATAAACCAGGTCCAGGGAGATGGCTCAGTAGAACAAGTGCTTCCCTGGCAAACAAAAGGGTCTGAGTTCAATCCCTGGTTCCTCAAAAAGACAAAACAAAACATGCATCCATCCATACACACACAAATAGATGGGAGACCTGAAATGAGCCTCCCGGAGGGCTAGGATTACAGATCTGTGCTCAATTCCAGCCTGGTACTGTTTCACTCTTACAGTACAGGTTCTCATCTCAAGCTAGAAATGAAAATTACCTGCTTTAAAATGGGTCCATGACTAGAGCCAAGCCTCAAAAGGCTTGATTCAGTGGATCTCAGGTGAGATCTGGCACTCATTTGTAATCCTGAAAACCTTAGTTGGGTTTGGTGGCACATGCTGGTAATCCCAGGATTTGGGAGGCTGGGAGGAGGAAGATGATGTCCTGAGTTGGAGGCCAGCCAGAACTACATAGTGAAAATGTAACAAAATTAAAAAACAAAACAAAATTTTATGGGGATTCTAATATACAGCTAAGGTAGGCAATAGTTTAGAAGTACAACATTCTTAAAAGTGCTTAATGAAACAGGCTGGTCTGGAACTTAGAATATTCAAGCTTTAGCCACTCAGAGTGCTGGGATCTCAGGCATTTGATATCAGCCTTGGCCAGAAGATAAATTTTCTGACTTATAGTCTAGTGCTATATTGCTGCGCCCAACTCTCTTCTAGGAGACTACAAGGAAATAAGGCAAATTGAGTACAAATAGTTTAATAAAGAGACCCTATGAATTAAATGCAAATCCCTCATTTAACATATAAAAAGCTATGTAAAGAGCTGGGCATATATATGCTCAGTGGCATACAATCTGCCTAGCAAGCACAAGGCCCTGAGTTCAATTACCAGTACCCAAAAAGAAATAAAGTATGTGATTATTTTCCAAATATGTTTGATAATAAGAATATCACTTTAGGGCCGGGGAGATGGCTCAATGGAATAAGTGCTTCCCTGGCAAGCACAAGGGCCTGAGTTCAATCCCCGGTTCCACCAAAAAAAAAAAAAAAAAAAAATCACTTTAGTGACTTACAAGTTGGGCCAAATGGTTTACTTCCTTCATTAAGTTCTTAAAATAGTATGGAGTTTAGCATGGTGGCGCAAACATACAATCTCAACTCCAGGAGGTTGGGGGCCTGCCCATTAGCTCAGTTGTTTAAGTGACTGCTTAAACAAAGCAGTCAGGCTCAGGATGCCGTGGTTTGATCCCCAGATCCTCAAGCCTTACGAGACCTGCCCTGAAGGCATCCTGAGCCCACCAAAAAACAAAACAAAACAACAACAACAACAAAAACGCACTTCAACTCCTGGAGGTTGAGGCAAAAGAGTGGAAAATTTCTCTAGCTTAGACTGAAAAATTAAAAAGTAGCTGGGATGTAGCTCAGTGACAGGGCCCTAAGTTTAATACTCAGGAATGAAACAACTACGGAGAGCAGATACCATTTTAACATTATTTTACAAATGGGGAAACTAGTGCTCAGAACAGGTAATAGTTGAGATTTAAAAACTACATTTCAGACTGGGCCTGCTGGTGCATCTCTGTAATCTCAGACTCTCAAAAACAATAACAAGAAGCAAAAAAACCAAACCCTTAAGATTTCTCCCAGGAGAGCCCAAACTAGCAAGCACCATACTGTACTATGACCTAGTAATTACATGATTTCTGAGGAGGAATACTTGGAGATTAGTGTACTTTTTTGTTTTTGTTGTTAGTGTTACTTTGTTTTAAGGCTTGGGAAATTTTGGTTCATTCTTTTAAGAAGAGCAAGACTAGGAGTCAGGGAGATGGCTCAGTAGAATAAGTTCTTTCCTGGCAAGCGCAAGGGCCTGAGTTTAATCCCCGGCTCCACAAAAAAAAAAAAAAAAAAAAAGGATCGGAAGACTAACTCAAACAATTGGAGTGCTTCGTGCCCTTGTGGTAGATGCATAAATACAAGATTATGCCTCATAATAAACCTGTCTCTGCTTGCCATGAAAGCCTAGGGTAGTTAATCAAGACTGTTGATAATACAAACTTCCAGCAGTCTTGTAGGAGGCCCTGCAAGGAGGAATGTAGTTCTGTTTTTATGGAGATACTGAGACTCAGAAGACATCTGCCCGGAGGCAAAAATGCAGAACCGTGAAGGGATTATCCATCAACTGCCTGAACTTCTTTATCTGAGACTTTCCTATTAAGATCTTGTAAACAGTCATTCCTGAGACCTCAAGTGTGTCTGCATTTGTTGCAGGGATAGATTTACTCAGACAGGTGGAAGAGTTATGACTTAAGAGTTATTAACAGCTGCAGAGGCCTAGGCTGCTGGGATAGTCTTGGTAGGAGGGAATGAGACCAGTCCTGTTGCTGGGCATTAACCAGCTTTAGAACAGGCCCCTGAATCTGAACTGCTGTAATTTTGGTTCAACTCAGGAACTACCTATTAGAGTTTATTCCATTTGTTTAAAATCGTTTTGCTGTACTTTTTTTGCTGACTCAGTGCTAGTGCTTTGAGACTGGTTACACTTTTAAATGGGTTACACAGGAGGTATTCCAGTTTTTAAAAAAATGTATTTAGTACAGGGTCTTCGGGGTCTCACTACACAGATAGGACTTGTAGTGGTCCTTCCTGTTTTTCAGCCTCCCAAACTCTGGGATTACAGGGGCATGCCACCACACCCAGTCTCAATCACTCAGCGCACTCTGGGGTCTGGGCCAGCATGACACAGCAGGCCGGGGCCAACACAACACAGAAGGCCCAGAATCAAACCCCTGGCCTATGTGTCTGCCTAAGCAGGTGCTTTAATCCACTGGGCTATCTGGCCGGCCCTTATTTTTCTTTTTGAGACATGGTTTTACTTTATAGTGAAAATGGCTTTGAACTCACTGTATAGCCCAGGCTGGCCTTGAATTCTCAACGATCCTCCTGATTCAGCCTCCTGAATGCTGGGATTACAGACAGGCCTAGATAGTCCATTTGTATGTATGTTGAGAGAGGATCACATTTTGTACATTTTGCCTTCAATTTGTGGCAGTCCTGCTTCAGCCTCCCAAGTGCTGGGATTACAGGCATGTGCTACCATGGCTGGTCTTCAGTTTTAAAAATGTCAACTCATAGCCTTAAATTTTTATCCCTTAAGGTGAATGACCTTACTATCCACCTAAAAGTAAGGTTAGTGCAGTGGTGTACACCTGTAATCCTGGCATTCTGGCAGGTGGAGGCCAAAGATTACAAATCGAGCCCAGGGATCTAGGTAGGCTGTCTCAAAACAAAATATATATAGCTTGGGACGTACCTCAATGAGAAAGCCTTGAGTTAAAAAAAATAAAAATAAGTGTGAATGATAACAATGGAAAAATCTGTCCATGGTTTGCAAATTTTAACTCCCCCAGAACGAGCTTTTCGAAAACGTCGTCAAGTAACTTTTAAGTGACAGCACAGCTTGCACATCTTGTACGGATCTCTGGGCAGGTTCTCCTGTTGTCCAATCATCACTGAGATTTTGGAGGTGGGGGAGGGGAGAAGGTCCCTAGACCGTCCCTGTCCAGGAAGGGGGCGGGTTTAGATCTTGCTGGGGGCCTCCACAGCTTGTCTGGACGCCACACAGTTCTTGGCACTTCGCTTAGCCAATAGGAACCTAAAGGTCTATTTGAATCGGCCAATGCTGGCGGGATGAGGGCGGGGCTCGTGAGCTCTATAAAAGTGGCTGCCGGCCAGACAGGCGGTTGGGGGAGGTTTCTGTCGCTGTGGCTTGTCCTGTGTCAGGAGCTAACCCTGCACGACTCGGGTCTGACCGCTTCATCGTTCTGCTCCTGTGCCAGCCTACCTCGCTTCTCGGCGCCATGACCACCACTACCACTTTCAAGGGTGTCGACCCCAACAGCAGGAATAGCTCCCGGTGAGGCGACGGGGCGCCTCCACAGGCGCGGCGGGCCTAGGGGCCGGAGGGCGGTCGCCTGCGGTCCGGGAGCAGGTCGCTGGTGGCAAAGCGTCCGGTGCGCCGCACTCGCGCCCAGACGCCGGCGGGGCTCCGCCGCGGGGCTGCGGCTGCTTTGTGCCTCTTGGCGAGCCGGGCGCCACGGCCCCGCCCGGGTCCTGCTGCTCTCCATTCATTGCTGCCGCGGAACGGGCGCGGGGCGCCCGGGGCTGACCACCCCTCGCAGAAGGGCGGGTGCCCGTCCATGGGAACTCGGGGGAAGGTTTGCCCTGCTTTCCGCGGCGAGGCTGGCCCAACCCTCAGGTGGTGGTCTTGACCCTCCAGGTGCCCACGAGTCCGCTTGGGCGTCGCGATCAGGTCCATTGTCCCACCCCCGCACCACGCGCTCCTGCCTCTGCCCCGGGCATGTACAGGCCCCAGGTTTGGGCGCAGCGATCAGATCCCGCGACCGGTTCTGCCGGGTCAATCAGGGTTCGACCCCCCGGTCCTCTTCATTCCTCCCTTCGGCCCGCCCGGCAGGTGCATGTGTGACTGGGCGGGGCTGGGCATCGCGACCCTTCACTCCGGGTTAGGACGCAAACCGTCCCTCCTCTCCTCGAAGTGCCTCCCTCTTCTAACAAAGGAGAAACAGACCCCGTCTCCTCCCCCTCCCGTGCCCACCTCCGAGCGCGAGGGGGAACGAGCCAGCTGGAATGGGGTTTTTGAGCTTAAACCTTCGGACCTCGGTCTGTGCACCCCACCTTATTCGCATTCCCCTTTGACGTGTGCCAAGTAAGTTCATTCCTGGCCCTCGGTGCCTTGCAAGAGGTCGTTTCCAGTTCTTGGGCGGTGCCGGAGACATCCATTGTCTCTTCAGTAGTATCTGCACCTGGGAAGCTGGGCCCTTTCTTGCCTCCTATCACACTGCATTTTGGGGAGAGAGAGCACTGAGCCGGGTATTTGAACCTGGACCCGTTTCCAAGCCCTTGAATAACTTGGTGGAAGGGCCTGGATTCTGTGAAAGGTGTACACATTGTCTCAGCTAATTGTACACTCTTCTGTGAAGTGCATTGTACACTCTCTGGAGTCTTCCTCAAGGCTTGGAAAAAGCTCAGATTCTACTTTTTCTGGGCATCTATGCCCTATTGATCACGACTTGCAGTCATGTGTGGCCAGCCTTGGGGTCCTGGCCAAGTGACACAAAGGGAGCCATTTTGTGGGGCCAAGAATACAGACATGAAGCACCAGTAGCTATCTCACAGGGGTTAGAGAACTTGAGAGCAAAAAACAGCTCAGCCAAGGAGGCCTAGGAGGAAGTTCTGGTGCCATTACCTTTCAACTAACTCCTTTCACTTTAGCAGTGTAGAAAAGAATGACTAAGATCGAAAACACTAAGGTTACTGGGAGGGTGGGGAACTTGTACAGAACCCAAGAAAATACTAGTCACTCCCTCTTCTGCTGTCATCCTTCCTATGAGATACTGTTTTTAGAGGACACAGGGATGAACTGAGTCGTGGTGCTCCATTTTGTGTCCACTTTCTTTTGGTCAGACTTCAGTGGGATGCCAAGGTGGGCTGGGACTTTAGCCTTTGATGTTGTTGAGTTTGGTGCTTTGTGAAGAATTCAATAACCAGGTCAAATAAATCTGGCTTGTTTTTTCATATGTATTTGAGATGGGAAACAAATACTTTTTGGTTCTGCAAGATAAATGCTTTAGTTCACACTTGCCATTAGTTTGTTTCCAGTATGGTGTGATCTTTGTACTGTGGCATTGTCATTTTCTTCTCAGCTTTCCTTCTGTAAGCTTCCCCAATTTGCCTAAACTTCTTTTCTTCAGTAACATTCTTCTGGCCCTCACCTCATTATCAATTCAGTGTGCTAGGGAGTGATCTTTGAGAGGGTTGAATGGAAACAGATTTAAATAAAAGAAAAAAGGAGTAAATTAAAACAAAAATTTTTCCCTACAATACAGGGGCATGTTTTTGTTGAGTCTTCAATAAGTAATCTTGGTTTTGTTACTGTTTGTGGTTGAGAAAAAACAGTAAAGAATGAGATTGAAATACTTTCTGTCTTGTGATCAAGTCCTTTGTTTGGGGATGTCTCGATATTACAAATGGTCTCTACAACACTGACGTCATCGGAGTAGGTGCTACCTGCTGTTGCAGGAGCAGCGTGGTCGTGCAGAAGTTGGCTTGGGCAGGGCTTTACTTGGTTGAAGTTGGTGTTTGGGTACCGATGTTTGTCTGTCTGTCTGTCCCTTTCTCTTTCCCTTCCCTTTTTTTCCTTCTTTCCTTCCCTCCCTCCTTTCCTCCTGTCTTTCTCCTCCCTCCCTTTTTCCTTTTTTTCCCCTCCCTCCCTTCCTTCCCTTCTTTCTTTTCTTCCTGCGAAAACAATGCATGAGGTTTGTTTCTTTTTCTTTTCTTTTTTTGGTGGAACCAGGGATTGAACTCAGGCCCTTGCACTTGCCAGGGAAGCACTTATTCCACTGAGCCATCTCCCTGGCCCCTGAGGTTTTAATTATGCTCAGTAAAGACAATCATTCTGATCTCCAAAGAATGAATGGCCTCAGTTGATTTTGGTTCTGTTATTCCAGGTGCTTTGTTGATTTAAGGTACAAATGATAAACTAATCCCTTCAGATTTAAACAATTCCATTAAATCTAAAATTATCTTTTTTTAATTTATTTATTTATTTGTTTGTTTGTTTATTGTGTGTGTGTGTGTGGCCAGTTCAGCCCACCAGGGGGCGGGGCGGGCTGGCATGTGGTGCTGGGGATTGAACCGCAGTCCCTGTGCTTTTGCTTAGCTTAGCTTGTTCTAAGTAGGTGCTTTAGACCACTGAGCCATCTCACCAGCCCCTCTAAAATTATCTTGATAAACATATGCCTGAACAATTTGTCTTAATTTGTACAGTGAATTTAAGTATTTAATATCAAGATTTTTAAAAAGTGGAGCTTCAAATGTTTCACATGTTATAAAGGACTGCATTGGGATTTTGAGGGTAGTTAATGAAATTTAATAATTTTTTTTTTTGCTGTGTTAGGAATTGAGTCCAGGGCTTATCTCACTAAACTGTATCCCCAGCTCTTTTTTCCCCCAGCTCTTTTTTTTTTTTTTTTTTTTTTTGTGGTACTGGGAATTGAACTCAGGTCCTTGTGCTTGCCAGGCAAGTGCTTATTCTACTGAGCCACCTCCCTGGCCCTCCCCCAGCTCTTTTTATTTATTTGGTACTGGGAATTGAACTCAGGACCTTGGGCTTGCCAGGCAGGTGCTGTGCGGCTGAGCTGTATACCCTGGCCCCATTTTTTAAATTTTAAGACAGGGTCTCCCTAAATTACTAAATTGCCCAGGGCTGTCCAGGTGTGTTGTCACATGCCTGTAAGGCCAGCACTCTGGGGAGGCTGAGGCAGGAGGATCACTACAAATTTGAGGCCTGCTTGGGCTCAAAGTGAGTTCAAGGCTATATTGAACTGCATAATGAAACTCTCAAAAAGACAAAAAAAGAAAGAAAGAAAGAAAGAAAGAAAGAAAGAAAGAAAGAAAGAAAGAAAGAAAAATTGCCCATGCTGGGCAATTCAAACTTGAGATCCTCTTGCCTCAGCCTCCCCAGACTGCTGGCCTTACAGGCTGTACCACCATGCCCCATTATGCAGATAACATAGTTAAAGGGGAAAAGGGGCATTGTGTGGTTATTCCATTGAAGCACCTGGCCACGTGTGTGTGTGTGTGTGTGTGTGTGTGTGTGTGTGTGTGCCAGGTGCTGAGGATCTGGGTTCAAGTTCTATTCACTAGCAAATGCAGGGTGCTCTTTTAGAGCTTCTTAGAGCCTGAGTCTTCCTGACATGAGTTTTTTTGAACTGCTCCAAGCAGAGTTCAGCAAAATATAACTTCTGGGCCAGATTCAGTCTTAACTGTTTTTGGAGAGTTCCTGAACTGTGAATGATTTTTCACATTGATAAATGATGGAGGAAAATACTTTCCTGTCTTATGAAAATTGCATGAAAATAAAATTCAGTGTCCATGCTCAGCTGAGGTGTCAAATTTTATTGGCCACAGGCACACTCATCTTCCTGTTACCTATGGCTGCCTTTGTATGCATATGGCAGTCAGTTCAGGAAGCCCTCATCCCCAGAGCCAGAAATCTTCACCATCTGGCCCTTGATGAGTTGGCAGCTCCCCAGGGGGGAGTGTCTTGCCCTGTGCTCCCTGTAGGCGGGGCAGTTACACTCCAGCTCTGAGAGCTGCTGGGGGAGTTGGCTGGTCAGGGAGTGGGGAGAGCAGGTGGAAACTGGCCAGGAAAGGCTCCCAGTGGGAGAAGCCTGGGCACAGTACAGAAAGTGGCTGGCCTGGACTGGTGGGCAGGGTGGTTGGAGATGCCCTGGTCTGAGAAGAGACTGTATTCCTGGAGGGCAGAGTTTGTGTGGTTTTCAGTGTCTGCTCTCCCAACCCCCTGGGGTGTGCTGGGCTATGGACCTTGGCACAGAAAGGGTGGGACAGGGCAGGGGCCACCACTAAAGGCAAGAATGGGCAATGCGAGAGTCTGGTGAGGTGAGGGCCATTGTTGGGAGCTGATACCTGGGTGCCCGGCTGTATGCCCTGGGGAGCTGGAGAGCCACGATTTCTGTCTGGGGATCCAGAAAAGATATAGGTGGGGCAGGGGCACAAAGGATATCATGAGGGCTGGGAGATAGCTCAGTAGAATAAGTGCTTGCCTGGCAAGCGCAGGGTCTTGAGTTCAATCCCCCCGTACTGAAAAAACAAAACAAAACAAAACAAAAAACAAAGGATATCATGAAAAGAAACATTGATAGCAATTTCTGGAACTCAGAAACGGTTTTTAAAAGAATTTTAGAGAAATAATACAGAAAAATACAGCATATAAAGAAGACAAAGGGAGTTGTGTGGTGGTAGATGGTGTAATCCAAGCTATTGCAGAGGCTAAAGCAGGAGGATCCCAAGTTCAAGGCCAGACTGGGGCAAGTTAGTGACATTTTATCTCAAAATGAAGAAATAAAAAGGGTTAGGGATGGGTGCATAGCCCAGTACTTCCTGGGTTCAGCCTGCAGTATTAACCTCCCCCACCAAAAAGCCATTCATTAAAATTCACTTGAAATCCCAGTTGGTGAGAAGGAACCCTGGATAGGTAGCCTTGTGGTGACATTTATTTGCTTATAATAATAGCTAATATAGGGGCCAGGGAGATGGCACTTAGGCGAATATCCTCAGATTCATTTTTTAACTGACAAAATCAAAGGAAACTACTTATTTTGCTAAAAAGGAAGAGCCTGGTGAGATGATGTACACCTATCATCCCACGACTCTGGAGGCCAAGGCAGGAAGACTTCGTGGCCAGCCTAAGGTACTACATAATGAGGCCTCGTCTCAAATTAAAAAAAGAAAAAGAAAGCTAGCTAAAAAAAAAAAAAAAAAAAAGCAGTACCATTGGGGGCTGGGAAGATAGCTCAGTAGAATAAGCACTTGCCTGGTAAGTGCAGGGTCCTGAGTTCAGTCCCTGGTACCACAAAAAAAACCCCTAGCTCCAAGAAAGTGGAGGGTCCTCATCACCTGAATCACCATAACAGTGGAGGAGGAGACACAACGAGCCAGTGGAGCTTCAGGCCTGTTTCCTCCTTTCCTGGATCAGAACTCACCCTGCCTTTATGGAGGAAGTGAAACTAAACTTTGACCACCTGCTGATGGTGTGTGTGTCTTCTGTTTATTTGGGTTGAGCAGAAGTGGGAATGTTCGTTTGTGCCAGAGGTTTTTTTCTTATTTCTTTTTTTTTTTTTTTGTGGTACCAGGGATTGAACTCAAGATCTTGCTCTTACCAGGTGCTTATGTGCCTGAGCTATATCCCAGGCCCTTTCCTTCCTTCTTTCTTTTTTGTGGTACTGGGGATTGAACTCTGGACCTTGCGCTTGCCAGGCAATCACTTATTCTACTGAGCTGTCTCCCCAGCCCTCCTTTCCTTATTTCTAAAGGAAAAAAATTAACTTTCAAAGTTCATTTTTTTTTATATTTATTTATTTTTATTTATTACATTTATTTATTGTGTGTGTGTGTGGCCAGCTCAGCCCACCAGGGGG